GGTCACAGAGTCACCGATAGTGCTCTTGTAAATATCACTGAGGTACCATAGGAGGTAACATTTATTTTAATAGTATGTTTTATTATTATTATTATTATTTAATATGGAAATAGCACAAATAGGCTAAATTGTTATAATTTTCCCGGCTGATCAGGTGCCTGATGCAGAGATTCTTCACCCACAGTACAGAGGACACAAGACACTGCATGCCCTCGCTGCCTGGCGAATAATTGTTAATTTGGTTGGATAAAAGCATGCAATCGCCCGAGGATAAAGGCTTTATGAGCTGGCACAATAAAAACGGAGCGAGGCAGGAATCTCATAGGGAACTTCTAAATAGATCAGTGACCGATTATAGTCGGGATCAGTTTACAATCGCTGTTAAAACAACTAAGATTTATTAGCTTAAAACTTTAATCAATTAATATTTGACTCTAGTACTTTGTTTCAGGATTCATTAATATGTTGTAATACTTTTAATAAAGCTATAATATAATGATATGAAGTTTTTTTTTATTAGATGTTTCTGTGGGGGTATTTCTGTGTTTCTATTTATTTTCGAAAGTGCTTAATTTGGCGAGTTTATTTCTAAATTATTGTTTCTGAACTAATATTTATAGCTGAATTCACCGAAACAAATGAAAGCAGAAATTCACGATTAATGTGGTTGTTGATGGGTGTAAAATGAATTCATTAAAAAAAAAAAAAAGTTAATAGTTATTAAGGAAAAAAATGACAAACCAGCCTTGAAGCCAAAAATAATAATAATCAATAAATAGAAATTATAACAATGTAAATTAAACATTACAGGGTTTGGATCAGAGATTTGTATTTTATTACCTATTTTATTAACTCATTCATGAAACCAGTTACCACTCCAGTAGTAAATGACATGACAAGTTTTATGTGGAGGTGCTGGTTTCATCATCAAGGACTGCTGCGGGTCCAGACAGAACAGCCTCAGATTAACCCCACCCAGGCCAATTATCGCATTAAGTTACTCAATTTTGTCCCTATGGCTCAGTAAGTGTTTGTGTATGTATGTCTGAGACAGACCAGCTGACACCCTGTATTCTCTTCACTTGGGCACAGCCATCTTTTTTGTTTTGTTTTGTGTATTTGCTGTGAAGTAACTTTCCTTTCAGTTTGGTGGTCATGGCGAAGAGGTCAGGGGTAGTTTGGCTGCTACAGCCAACCCCCTTCTCACTCTCAGAGAGGCAGGAAACATGCAATCTGCCCTGGAAAAAACAAAACAAACAAACAGCCTCTCCACATGCAACAAAGGAAACATTTTAGCTCAGTTAAGCAATTAAGCAATGAGATAGCAGAGGGAAGTGATGGACATCTGATAAAAAGTGTTTTTCCTAAAGAGGCTATCTTCATGTCTGCATTCTTCCTGTCACTATATGCGCATTTTGGATTGTGAATGTCCAGTTTTAACAATAACTGGAACAACAAGTCATAAATTTGGTGAATATTTTTTCAATAATCACTATTTGGACCAGTGGAAAACATATTAAACTTACTGTTATAGAGGACTAAGAAAAACAATGCATATCTAAAGATAAGCCAGTAAATGTTTTTGCATTTTGCCAGGAAAAAAA